TAAAGATGGCACAACAAGTAGATCGGTCTATAGCTAAGATCTACAGAGACACTCACAGGAACACCTCAGTAAGCGAGAGTCCAAAAGTGGCAGGCAAAAATCCAGAACCTCAGTCAGAAGACTTGGAAGGTGCTGAACAGACTGTGCTCTAGCACCACAAGATGCAGAGCCAACCTTAAGAAAATGGGGCCACAAAGTGGAATCCACGACATGTGAGTGTGGAGAAGAGCAAACCACTGACCACCTGCTGCAATGCAACCTGAGCCCTGCCACATGCACAATGGACGACTTCCTTGCGGCAACACCAGAGGCACTCCAAGTGGCCAGCTACTGGTCAAAGGGCATTTAATCAACTACCAAACTTGCACATATTGTATTTTGTCTGTTTGTCTGTTTTGTTCTGTTAGAAATGTAATACAATTGACTGTCAAAGGACATTTAGCATAAAGCCAAGTTGAAACTTTGTGTTTTAAAATACATTATAACTGTACCCTCAATTTGCTTTCGACACGATAAATAAATAAATAAATAAATAAATAAATAAATAAATAAATAGCTGCGGCAGTTCAAGTGGGTTTTTTTTGTTGTTGTGTCAGGAACGACTTGAGAAACTGCAAGTCGCTTCTGGTGTGAGAGAATTGGCCGTCTGCAAGGACGTTGCCCAGGGGACGCTCGGATGATTTGATGTTTTTACCATCCTTGTGGGAGGCTTCTCTCGTGTCCCCACATGAGGAGCTGGAGCTGATAGAGGGAGCTCATCCGTCTCTCCTCAGATTCGAACCTGCGACCTGTCGGTCTTCAGTCCTGCCGGCACAGGGGTTTAACCCACTGCGCCACCGGGGGCTCCAGTTCAAGTCCAAGCTGCATTAATTCTACAGTGTAGATGCATCTCTGCTTAAAAAATATCAATTTAAAAGAACATATGTAGTCAATACATATCAAGACAAGTAATACTTAATTTAAAATTAAGCATACTACTCCTCTGTTGCGCCAGCTCCACTGGCTGCCAATTGGCTTCCGAGCACAATTCAAAGTGCTGGTGTTGACCTATAAATCCCTAAACGACTCCGGCCCAGTTTACCTGTCCGAACGGATTCTCCCCTATGAACCATCAAGGTTATTAAGATCTTCTGGAGGGGCCCTGCTCTCGGTCCCACCATCTTCGCAAGTGCGTCTGGTGGGGACGAGGGACAGGGCCTTCTCGGTGGTGGCCCCTCGGCTCTGGAACTCTCTCCCACTGGAGATTAGAACTGCCCCTTCTCTCCTGACTTTTAGAAAATTGGTGACAACTTGGCTCTGGAATTTAGCATTTGATGAGTGAGTCAAGAACTTCTGGCCACACGGACAGATGGTAATGAATTGTGATATCTTTTGGACGACTTGGCTTTTTGTAATTATATGATTGCTTATAATGTATTTTATGTATTAATGTGTTATATGGTATGATATTGTAAACTACTGTTTTTGAATCGTGTTGTAAACCGGCCTGAGTCCCTCTCTAGAGGTTCTAAATAAATAAATAAATAAAATTCCTGATTTAAAATATCGTAATTTTAAAATATCAGGTGACTTGACGGTGCACCTGGGCAGACTGTTTTCTTCAACTTCATCTTGTGCTCTGGAAATGCATCAGACTTTGGTGTCTGTGCCTTTGGAAGAGCTTAGCCTACTGAGCAACATTTGAGAACTGGGCAGTATTTATGTAATTACAATGCTAATAGCCCAGCAGCCGAAAGGACAGATTTAAGGCGGTTAGGCTGAAGTCAGCTTAAGTTTCTTTGGCTGTGCTGCCAGAAAGAATATTGCCCTTGCTTATTCCTTGAGCGAGAGCAAGACTTTTGTTTTCATTTTAAAAGAACCTGGATGTCAATATTTTCGTGTTAGGAAAACAGGCCTACTTGCAAATAAGATTCTGACGGGTGCCTTTGATGTCGAGAGTTAACCTGGGGACCTCCTTGTCACAGGATATTACCAAGGCCAGTAGCTTAGTGAGATTACTGGTGACTTGGGAATGTAAGCTTTTCTTGCTGCGTGTGTTTGTGTGTCTGAGCGGGTCTTTCTGGAGATTATGTTCGAGCCAGCAAAACAGGAGGATGGAGCACTTGAGCCAAATAGAAGAAGAGAGAATCACATTGCCACATGGCATGGGGAGGATATTTCAAATACACATTTAGAAATCATTATGCGTTGGATTTCTCACTCGTAGTGAATGCCAGAATTTTTGTATCTTGTCAGAAGCGTATTGGAGGTGCAGTTATAATGTATTTAAATACACAAACAAAGTTAAAAACTTGGCATTATCCTAAATGTCCTTTGACCAGAAGCTGGCCTCTTGGAGTGCTTTAGAAGAAGGTCCTCCATTGTGCATGTGGCAGGGCTCAGGTTGCATTGTAGTAGGTAGTCTGCGGTTTGTTCTTTGCCACACTCACATGTTGTGGCACTTCATAGCCCCATTTCTTAATGTCAGCTCTGCATCTTGTAGTGCCTCCCCGGTGCCTTCCTGGTCGTCCAGTCTTCTTTGTGCCCAGAAGGAAGTCTTCCATCTATTATCAACCACTGATTGAGGTTCTGGGTTTTAGCCTGCCACTTTTGGACTCTTGCTTGCTGAGGTGTTCCTACAAGTATCTCTGTAGATCTTAGGAAGATATTTCTTAATTTAAGGTGATATCTGAACCGAGGATGGGCTGGAGATGTTAGTGCCTTGGTCCTTTCATTACAGGCTGCTACTTCGTGACGGATATCAGGTGGTGTGATACCAGCTAAACAGTATAAGTTCTCCAGTTGTGGTGGACATAGACATCCTGTGATAATGCAACATGTCTCATTACGAACCACATCTACTGCATACTCAGCAGAGTAGCAAAGCACAAGGGCAGATATGTATAAATATGTGAGAGGAAGCAACAGGAAGGAGGGAGCAAGCTTGTTTTCTGCTGCCCTGAAGACTAGGACATGGAACAATGGCTTCAAACTACAAGAAAGGAGATTCCATCTGAACATGAGGAAGAACTTCCTGACTGTGAGAGCCGTTCAGCAGTGGAACTCTCTGCCCCGGAGTGTGGTGGAGGCTCCTTCTTTGGAAGCTTTTGAACAGAGGCTGGATGGCCATCTGTCAGGGGTGATTTGAATGCAATATTCCTGCTTCTTGGCAGGGGGATGGACTGGAGGGCCATGAGGGCTCTTCCAACTCTTTGATTCTATGATTCTTCACTGTGTCTGGTTGTGATCCCCAGGTTGTGCTGGTCAACTTTCCTGTAGTATTATTTCTAGCATCAACTTTTTGCTTGATATTCAAGCAGTGCTTCTCAGTGCCAAAATGAGAATAACGTGGTCTGTCATTTCCCATTGTTAGCAACTTGGATTAATAACAAAGTAGAATGATGATCATTTTAATATACATCTTTTTCATGGGCTTTAACTTCCTTGGGGTAGTTTTGGGAGTTAGGATTTTGTGCCAAGGGACTTGTGGGTACTCAGTCATGAGCATGGAAACTTGGGGTACATTGCATCAAATTTATTCAGTCTATGTGTCAATGGTAAATGAAATAATGGGGTTTTAAAATCTGTTTTATTTATCTAAGAGTATAGTCCCCATGAAAATGGAGGGTCCAAAATCTTTTTATTCAGACAGGCTTTTAAAGAAGAGTGTTTTTAAGACCAGTTCAGGGGATGCTATGGTGTTAAACTTTGAACATGTTTTAATTGTTTTTTAACTGGGAATTTTGTTATATTGTTGATATTTAAACTGTTTTCAATCTCCTGCGGGAGAGATAAAGCGAGATATAATAATAATAATAATAATAATAATAATAATGGTCCCAGTGGTCATTGGCATACTGGGTGTCATGCCAAAAGATCTCAGCCGGCATTTTGAAACAATAAACATGGACAAAATCACGATCTGTCAACTGCAAAAGGCCACCTGACTTGGATCTGCGCGCATTATTCGAAAATACATCACACAGTGCTAGACGCTTGGAAAGTGTTCGACTTGTGATTTTGTGATATGAAATCCAGCATATAGATCTCGTTTGCTGTGACATACTGTGCTTTTGTGTCAATAATATAATAATACAGTACAGTCTTGCTTATCCAACATAACTAGGCCAGCAGAACATTGGATAAGCAAAAATGTTGGATAATGAGGGATGAAGCCAAAACCTATTAAATGTCAAATTACGTTACGATTTTACAAATTAAGTACCAAAACATCGTGCTTTACAAGAAATCAACAGAAAAAGCAGTTCAATATACGGTAACGTTGTGTAGTAATTCCTGTGTTTACGAATTCAGCACCAAAACATCACAATGTATTGAAACAGCTGTGGATCCGGGCGGGAGGCAGACTGTGTTGGATAATACAGAATGTTGGATGAGCGAAGGTTGGATAAGCGAGACTCTACTGTATTCTAAACATCATAAACTGCATTGGTTACCAATTGAGCACTGGATCACTTTTAAAGTGATGGTATTTACCTTTAAGGCCTTATATGGTCTGGGGCCAATGTACCTGAGGGACCACCTTACCCCCTACCAAACCTAGAGATCCCTTCGCTCTGAGGACCAAGATTTATTGGAAGTCCCCAGTTTTAAAACCTTGTATCTAACAGCAACCAGATGCAGAGCCTTCACAGTAGTGGCACCATCGCTATGGAACACTCTGCCACCAGAAGTCCATGCCTTGCGGGATTTATTGGCTTTCCACAAGGCTTGTAAGACATATTTGTTTCGACAGGCTTTTGATTTTTGATACGTTGTTTAATTTGTGTTAGATTTTAGTTTGTTCTTGTAAGCCGCTCCGAGCCCTAGGGGAGTGGCGGCATAAAAGTTTGAAATATAAATTAATATAAATAAAATAAATAAATAAATAGATAAATTGGTTGTCCCAGATCTAAACTAGAAAGTTGAGTGAGTAAACAAAGTCTGAATCGCCCAACTTCTTGCATGCATAAAAGTGTTTAGAGATAAATAACTCTGCAAACCTGGCTTAACGTGACTTATTTATTTATTGCAGAAGTACTATTTCCTGGATGTGATTTTAGCCGCAGTTGAGATGGAGAAAATCAAAGAGCAATTTTCCAGGCTCCAGATATCAAAACGTGTCGTAACAGAAGACCCAACTTACTTATTGGACATAGATATTTCGAAAGGAGAAGGGAGCCGTTCCGTAGCTGTTTCCTGTTCCAATCAAGCGATCAGAGTTTACAATGGAGAGACATTAAGCTTGCTACGGGAATATAGTGGCCATCCAGGATTACTCAGTGGTGTCCGGTTTGCACATACTTGCAAAGATGTCTTGTTTTCAGCTTGCGGTGATGGAACAGTGAAATGCTGGGATGTTCGTTCGTCTTCTGTAGAACCTGTGCAGTTGTTTCGTGGCTATCCTTCCAACATCTTTATTAGCTTTGATATAAGCTGCAATGACCTCATACTGTGTGCCGGGACAGAGAAAGTGGGAGAAGACACATTCATAGTATTCTGGGATGCCAGAGGCTGCACGGATGGCACCTCTTCCAGCAAAACACCGTTGGGGGCTTATTCCGAATCCCATGACGATGATATTACTCAAATCTGCTTTCATCCCAGCAAGCCAAACCTCGTCGTTTCAGGTTCAACGGACGGATTGGTGAACATGTTCGATATCAACAAGGACAATGAAGAGGATGCATTGATTTCCACCTGCAACTCAGACTCGTCGGTGAGTTGTATTGGATGGTCTGGAAAAGAGTACCAGCAGGTTTACTGCATGACGCACAACGAAGGCTTTTGTTGGTGGGATCTCAACCAGTTGGAAACTGAAGAGCCAATTACATTGTTGCACATTCCCGATGCCCGCGAAGTAGTTGGCCTAGAAAACAGTAAACTCGATTATTTAATTGGTGGCTTCTATCTTGAAAAAGTTGACCAATTGATTGTGATGGGAGGGATATCGTCTGGAAATATCTACCTCTTGGAATCCTCTACCGAAGGTTTGAATTCCGTGGGAGTCCTTCGAGGAGGACACTCTGCGACCGTCCGCTCTTTCCGCTGGAACATAGACGATGATTCCTTATTGACTGGTGGGGAGGATGCACACTTGCTGCTTTGGAAACCCGGAGCCGTGGAAAAAGCCATTGGAAAGAAGTCCTCGATGAAAATCAGTTCTTCCGTCCATCAGCGAGTGAGAGTTCACCAAAAGCATTTCAAAAGCAAGACAAAATAATCGCAATAAAGACAGATGAGAGAAATCTAGAGCTATCTTCCCTAAATAATTTTTAAGCCCCATTACCTTGGCTAGGGATGATGGGTGTTGTGGACTTATACACCTTAGAAGGTGCCAAATTGTTCTCCAATTTATTCATTATTATTTATTTACAACTTTTATATCTCGATCTTCTCAACCTCCGTAGAGGGACTCAGACCGGCTGACAGCAAGGATTCAATGCTAAAAACATCATATAATAACGAGTTAAAATACATATCGATTAAAATTACAAATAAGCCAAATCGCCAAGATAAAATCATGTCCAACTCAGTCCATATGTGTGGTCAATAACTTTGTTCTGTAGCCGGTTTCAACCATTACTCTGGGAATGTTTCCTTCCATAGCCAGGATTTCACCAGTCTCCTGAAGACAGGAGGGAGGGGACAGATCTGATCTCGATCGGGAGAGAGTTCCATAGCCAAGGGGCCACCACAGAAAAGGTCCTGTCTCTCGTTCCCGCCAGGCGCAATTGTGAAAGTGGCGGGACTGAGAGTAGGGCCCCACCAGAAGATCTTAATTGTCTTGGTGGTTCCTTCCAAGATGTATTAGTCCACAACACCCTGTAGAGCAGGCATGGGCAAACTTCGACCCTCCAGGTGTTATGGGCTTCAACTACCGGCTGTTAGGAATTGTGGGAGTTGAAGTCCAAAACACCTGGAGGGCCTATGCCTGCTGTGCTGGCAGGATTGCTGACCAATAAGTCAGTGGTTTGAATCCGGGAAGAGTGGGTTGAGCTCCTTCTCTCAGCTCTAGCTCCCCATACGGGGACATGAGAGAAGCCTTCCACAAGTGTGCTGTTGCACGCTGGGCCTGTGCATCAGACGGTAGACAGGACATAAATTCTGTGTGCCCAACGGGACGCCGGGGCTGCCTCAGATTAAAGGCCTTTGGATTTCCTTAAAACAGAGTCTTTAGATTGCTTAAAGGTTCAACAAAGTTCTTTATTAATGAAAACAAACAGGTATTTCAAGGCTTTCTTAACAGTCTATTCGCTCTTTCTCAATCTTGTCCACAGGGAACAGGCACTATCTTCATAACTGTAACTAACTAATGGGTGGGAGTTGTAGGCCAAAAAACATCTGGGGACCAAGGTTGAACAGTCTATTGGCTCTCTCTCAATCTTGTCCACAGGGAACAGGCACTATCTTCTTAACTGTAACTAATGGGGAAATCCTTAACTTCTAATCTGGGCAGTCTGTCTTTGCCTCTGTTGGCGTGGAGCCCCTACACCCGGTACCAACTGCTTCTGGCTTCCGCAAGAGACCCTTACCAAGCAGAGCTTTGTAGACTTCCAGGGGGAAAGAACTCAGGTTTCCGTGATGGCTGAATGAAGTCCTTCAGCAAAGGAGCTGTAAGGCTGTACAACCCCGGTCAGGCTGTAGGCTGTATATCCCCGGCCAAGCCGTAGAAGACGAAGCTTTCTACAGGAGCTCTTGGTATTATGTCCTGCATGAAAGGCTTCTCTGTATGGACTGAACTTAAAATGGCTCCTATTCCCTCCAAAAACCCAAAAAGGGGGCGGGATCAGGGAACCTAACTATAATTGACAGGTGGCTTGCCTTATGACTGCAAACTTTAACAGGAAGCCACCCTTCTGCAAAATCCCAAGCCTTGGGCTGCAAACAAACACTTGATACAAAGCAAATAAAGTGGGAGCTTCTGGTACAGCTGTACCTGCACAACAAGAATGGTAAAACATCAGAACATCTGGGCAATGTTCTTGCAGACAGCCAATGCTCTCACACCAGAAGTTTCTCAAGTCGCTCCTGACACGAAATAAAAGTGACTTAAAGATGTAACAAATTTATTGTGGCATAAGAGTTTGTGGACTAGAGTCCATGTTATCATTCAGTTTCATCGTTGAAGTGTAGTGAGCTGCTTCTACTTCTAAAGGTTTTTCTTTTTAAAAAACTGCAGGATTTCTAAGAGCATTGAGTAATTTGCAGGTATGTGACTCACACTTTGCCCATGAGCACATTTCTTCAGAAAATATTTTATGTGTTATCAGCTCAACTTGAATTTTGGGGATGTATGTTCAAAATTAGTATCCTGATGCGAGAAATCCATCCATCTTTCTTTGAAACAGCTTTTTAAAAACTTGTTTGTTGAAATAGTTTCCTTCCTACAGCCGACATATTATTTTGCTCTTTTTTTAAAAAAAAAAGGATGTTTGTAGTTGTGAGTGGGTGAAATCTGCTGTGACAACAGGGAGAATAGAAATTAAGTATACTTTTGAGAAATAAAAGATTTGAAAAGGATTTTTTGTTCTCTCTTGCCCCCTCTCAGATTACAAGGTTGGATGGACAAGTAGTTCTGTGAACAGAGATCAGTGTTTCTCAATCTGAGGGATCGGGATCCCTGGGGGGTTCATGAGGAGGGTTTCAGCGGGGTCACCAAAAAACATCAGAAAACATATATTTCTGATGGTCTTAGGAACTCTCTTGGCAGAGAAGGCTGAAGATCTCTCTGCCTGTCCTTCTCTTCCTTTTTGGTGTTGGTGAACTATAACTCCAGGAATTCAAAAACAGCCTCCCTAACCCCACCAGTATTCAGTGTTGGCCATGTAGGTAGTGTACCAAGTTTGGTGCAAACCCATTGTGGTCTGGGTGCAGAGTGTTCTTTGATTGTAGGTTAACTATAAATCCCAGCAACTACAACTCCCAAATGTCAACATTTATTTTCCCCAAACTTCACCAGTCTTCACATTTGGGCATATTGAGTATTCATACCAAGTTTCGTCCAGATCCATCTTTGCTTGAATCCACAGTTCTCTCTGGATGTAGTTGAACTGTTGTCTATTCGTTCAGTTGATTCCAACTCTTTGTGACCTCGTGGACCAGCCCACGTCAGAGCTCTCTGTTGGCCGTCACCACCCCCAGCTCCTTCAGAGCCAAGCCAGTCACTTCAAGGATAACATCCACCCACCTTGCCATTGGTCGGCCCCCTTCCGTTTTCCTTCCATTTTCCTCAACATCATTCTCTTCTCCAAGCTTTTCTTCTCATGATGTGGCCAAGGTACTTAATCCTTGCCTCTAATACCTTTCCCTCCAGTGAGCAGTCGGGCTTTATTTCCTGGAGGATGGACTGGTTGGATCTTCTTACGGTCCAAGACTCTCACAGCATTTTCCTCCGACACCACAATTCAAAAGCATCTGTTTTCCATCGCTCAGTCTTCCGTATGGTCCAGCTCTCACATCTGTAGGTTACTACAGGGAATACCTTTGCTTTGACTATGCGGATCTTCGTTGCATGTGATGTCTCTACTCTTTACTATTTTAACGAGATTGGTCATTGCTCTCCTCCCAAGAAGTAAACGTCTTCTGATTTCCTGGCTGCAGTCTGCGTCTGCAGTAATCTTTGTGCCTAGGAATACAAAGTTTGTCACTGCCTTCACATTTTCTACTTGCCAGTTATCAATCAGTTCTGGTTGCCCAGCTTTTGCATTGTCTTCTTTCACTTTGGTTAGGAGGTTCCTCAGCTCCCCGCTTTTGGCCAATCTGAGTGGTATAATCTGCATATCTAAGGTTGTTAATGTTTCTTCCAGCCATTTTAATTTGAACTACAACCCCAAAATTCAAGGTCCATGCCCACCAAACCCTTCCAGTATTTTCTGTTGGCCATGAGAGTTCTGTGTGCCAAGTTTGGTTCAATTCCATCGTTGGTGGAGTTCTTTGATTGTAGGTGAACTATAAATCCCAGCAACTACAACTCCCAAATGACAAAAATCAATCCCCCACCAAACTCAACCAGTATTCAAATTTGGGCGTATTGGGTATTTGTGCCAAATTTGGTCCAGTGAATGAAAATACATCCAGCATATCAGATATTTACATTACGATTAATAACGATAGCAAAATTACAGTTATGGAGTGGCAACAGAAATGATTTTATGGTTGGGGGTCACCACAACATGAGGAATTGTATTAAGGGGCTGTGGCCTTAGGAAGGTTGAGAAACACTGCCATAGGTAGGTAGGTAGGTAGGTAGATAGATAGAGAGATAGAGAGATAGATAGAGAGATAGTCATTTAACTGCATCATGACAAACATTGGGTTAACTTCCTCAGGGGGAAACCTGATTTTTCCCACTGTTTCCATGTATTTGCCAATCTGCTTATGGATGTAAATTTGGAGAAGGGAAGGGTAGGGCATACTAGGAAAAGCAAAAGCCTAAGGGCTAAAGTTGATAAGACAGACTTGTGTACACAGCTGGAACTGCAGTTGGAATTCATGCTGCTTGGGTGTGTGTAATTGATCCTACAGTTGAAATTCTTAAAGCTTTCTTAGAAGTCCTCCTGCCTGACGCATGTTTCTGCATCTTAAACATGAGGATTGTTTAATAGCTTTACCACATCATGTTGGCTAAGGAAATCTTTTGTTGAGAGGTGATTAGATGTGCCTGATTGTTGTCCACAAGCATGTGGACAATTTCAACAGAAAAGAGGAAACCATGAAAATGAACAAAATCTGGCTACCAATATTAAAAAAACCTCTAAAATTACAACAGCAAAATAACAGAGAGTAAACAATCAGGCACATATAATCACCTCTCAACAAAAGACTCCCCCAGGCACTGCCAAGCCATCAAATGCTAATCAAGGTGGTCAGTTGAAACATTCATACCTAGCTCCAGCAGACAAGAGTCCTTTGTCCCACCCTGGTCATTCCACAGATATATAAACCCATTTTCCTACTTCCAACAGACCTCACTACCTCTGAGGATGCTTGCCATAGATACAGGCGAAACATCAGGAGAAAATGCCTCTAGACCATGGCCATATAGCCCGGAAAAACATACAACAACCCAATGACAGGTATCGCTTAATAGATATTTCATCTTGCCTTTTTATTATAGTGATGTTTTGCTTTCCCAAATCAAAACTTACCCTGATTTGAGAAACGGAGCTAAAACCTGTAGCCATTTAAAAAGTCAACACATCAAACAGATGGGAGTTGTTTGAATTACTCTAAAATACCATTGTGT